AAAAAAACAGATGTAATATGGATAAACAAATGAAAAAGCTTTCAATCACTGATCATACCCTAGATGTGCTCTGTTTGACAGAAAACTGGCTAAAACCTGATGATTACATTATTTTAAATGAGTCTACCCCCCAAGATTACTATTATAAACATGAGCCACGTCCAAAAGGTAAAGGGGGAGGTGTTGCTTCAATTTATAACAATATTTACAGTATTTCTCAGAGGGTGGGCTTCAAAAATAACTCGTTTGAAGTAATGGTTCTTCATATAACATTATCCAGAGAAACAAGTGTTAATGATAAATCCCCTGTGACGTTTGTACTGGCTACTGTATACAGGCCACTAGGGCACCATACAGACTTATCAACATATCCATGTTGATAATGAAAAAGATGCATTAGGATCAGGATTCATAGACATTCTGAACTCTATTGGGGTTAGACAACACGTGTCAGGACCTACTCATTGTCAAAATCATACTCTAGATTTAATACTGTCGCATGGAATTGATGTTGATGGTGTTGAAATTATGCAGCCAAGCGATGATATCTCAGATCATTATTTAGTCTTGTGCAAACTTCATATAGTTAAAACTGTAAATTCTGTATGGTAGACCATCACTTCTACTGCTTTGTAAGTAATCTTCCTGATTTATCTCAATTCCTTAGCATTTCCAAAACCTCAGAACAACTTGATGATGTAACAGAAACTATGGACTCTCTCTTTTCTAGCATTTTAGATTCGGTTGCTCCTTTACGCTTAAGGAAGATTAAAACCCCTTCAGACCTGATTTTTTTTCTGCTGAGCAAAAAAAAAAAAATTCCCAGTTGATTTTTACTCCCTTCCAGCATAGAAATAAAGGGGGGAAAACATTTTTGATAACTCGTGTTTTTATTGGTATTTTTTCATGTCCATTACAATGGACACCACGACTAAATGAACGTAAAATGCCATGAAATCTTAGATAAAAAAGGCCATGTTTTTAACATAGGAGGTTGGCGGATTGACTGGGTTGGATGATTGTGGGCAATGTAACCCCAATAAATCAGTTTTTCATTCAGTTATCATGGAACTTCCAAACACATTGCTAACTTTTAACATTGTAAGCTAATAAGAGATCACACAATTACTAACAAATGGAAAATAACAAAAATACATCTGCTGGATATTCCCATATATTCTCTCATTTGCGATGAGCAGCCTTGAAGCAGTTTCTGTGTGGCACAAAGCAAAGGTGGATGTTGCATTTGTCACAGAATACATGTGTTTTCCCTGTGCAGTATGGCCTCTGGTGGCCTCTGTCTTCTCATCATAATTCGGCATGTGGTCAACCATATCATACTGCACTTCAGGTAGAGGCCTTGCATTCTGAACTCCTGGCCTGTGGGCATGCGGTTGTGGTTCTGGAGACATACTGGGTCTTCCACATTTTGCTGCCACTGATTATATAAGGCATAAAATTTTGTACTATATTCTCAACATCTACACTTACTCTCGTTTTCATCTGCCTCATTTCCTGAATCCAAGCAGTCAAGATCGGATAACTCTCCATTTACAAGGTATTCAAGGAAGTCTATGACTTTATACTCTAATGGAAGACTGTGTGAAAAACAGGTTATATACATAAAATAAATCAATTGTGAAGTCATAGCTTACCTATGAAATGCTTATAGGTATTTTGTTTCTTTGCATGAACTAACTGAGTGCTGGCTAATATCTCTTGACTCCTGATGTCCATTGGGATGGACATTCAACTTTGAAAAAATCCTATAACTTAATTAAATGAAATATTTTCAAAATAACTTAAAAATATTAACACTTGAAATTGTTAAAATTATATGCTGAGAGAAAATGTATTAGGCTAGCATGAACATAAATTAAACATTTTTATGAAAAATAGGCACTTTCTCCTCCCTCTCTCGAGCTTCAGAGCCATGCTTGTCTTGTCTGATGTCTGAAGCTCTCTCAGATTAAGTTAAAAGTAATTTCTCCATTGTGATTGGATAATCAGGAACCAATCAGTAATAAGCATTATTCAAACAATGAAATCAGAGATTTTTTATTGGTTTAGACACAGAAATATGTCCATTCCAATGGACGCCAGGTCTGAAGGGGTTTTAAGGAAAACAGTCTGACAGTCTGACACAATGAGCACATTCGTATGCTAAAGAGAGCAGTGAAAATGGAGCGCAGCTGGAGGAAAACAAAACTAGAGGTCTAGAGGTATGCATGGTGGGAAAGTACCCTATCCTACAGAAAAGCATTAAAAACTGCTAGATCTCATTACTTTTCGTCTCTTTTAGAAGAAAACAAACATAACCCCAGGA